AAAAAAAAAAAAAATAGAAAACTATAGACCACCATTCCTTATGAATATAGATACAAAAATCTTCAACAAAATACTAGCAAACCGAATTCAAGATAGATAATCCACCATGATCACATGGGTTTCATCCCAGGGATACAAGGATGTTCTGAAATACAAAAATCAGTGCCCAGGACTCACCACATAAACAGAAACAAAAACAAAGATCACACAATCATCTTAACAGATACAGAAAAAGCATTTGATAAACTCTAACACCCTTGCATGATAAAAGCCATGAACAAATTGGGCATAGGAGCAACATACCTCAAAATTATAAAAGTCATATATGATGAGCCCCGCCCCCAGCTAACATCACACAGAATGGGGGGAGTTGTTGGCATTCCCAAGAACTAAAATAAGACAGAGTTGCTCACTGCCACCTCTTCTATTCAACACAGCATTGGAAGTCCTAACCAGAGCAATCAGGCAAGAAAAAGAAATAAAGGGCATTCAGATTGGGAAAGAGAAGGTCAAACTATCCCTGTTTGCTGATGATGTGATCTTCTATCTAGAAAACGCTAAATACTCCTGGAATCAATAAATAAATTCAGCAAAGTCTCAGGTTATAAAATCAATGTACATGAATCAGGAGCATGTCTATATACTACCGTGTTTCCCCGAAAATAAGATGCTGTCTTATATTTATTTTTTCTCAAGAAGATACACTAGGGCTTATTTTCAGGGGATGTCTTATTATTAAGTATAATATAATAATCTACATTTACTCAAATACAGTTAAGTCATCTTCTTTTGAAACCTGACGGGGGAGCCAACCTTGTTGGTGGGGCTGGTGCTAGTGATGCGTGAACTTGTTTCCCCTAGCCGTTTGCATGTGCACAATAGGATGCCTGCGACTGGGGGTACCACACATGCACCCACACAAATGTGAATGGCTCAGAGACAGGAGCTGCGGCATATAAAAGGTATCCCAGTCTTACTTACCGCTCCACACCAAAATGCATGGCATGGCTATGCAGGTATGCTGCATAGCCACGCCCATCACTAGGTCTTATTATCAGGGTAGGGCTTATATTTAACAAATGCATAGAAATCCTGCCAGGGCTTATTTTGGGGGTAAATCTTATTTTGGGGGCAACATGGTAATAAGAGTCAAGCTAAGAGTCTAAAAAAAAAATTCAATATCATTTGCAATAGCTACAAAGAAAATAAAATTCCTAGAAATTTACTTAACCAAGGAGGTGAAAGATCTCTACAAGGAGAACTACAAAACCCTGCTGAAAGAAATTACAGATAGCACAAATGGGAAAATATCCCAAAGCTCACAGATCAGTAGAATCAGCATCATTAAAACATCCATACTGCCCAAAGTGATTTACAGATTCAATGAAATCCCTGTTAAAATACCAACTGTCATATTTCATAAATGTAGAAAGAATAATCCCAATCTTGATTTGGAACCCAAAAGAGCCCAAATAGCCAAAGATATCTTGAGCAAAAAGAACAAATCTGGAGGCATCTCATTATCAGACTTAAAACTATCCTACAAGGCCATAGAAACCAAAACATCATGACACTGTTATAAAAGTAAGGACACATGCCAGCGGAAGAGGATAGAGAAGCTGGAAAATAAGAAACCATCTCCCTACCACCAACGGATCTTCAACAAAGCAGACAGCAGCACACACTGGGGAAAGGAAGCCCTATTGAATAACAGGTGCTAAGAAAATTGGATATCCACACGAAGAACAAAACAGGACCCTTGTCTCTCACCATACACAAAAATTAATTCAAAACAAATCAAAGATTTAAATATAAGGCACAAAACCATTAAAATTCTAGAAGAAAACATAGGAAAAACTCTTCTATATGTTGGCCTAGGCAAAGAATTTTATGGCCAAGACCCCAAAGGCAAATACAGGAACAACAAAAATAAGTACATGGGACTTAGTTAAATTAAAAAGCTTCTGCACCACAAAGGAAATAATCACTAGAGTGAATAGACAACCTACAGAATGGAGAAAATATTCTCAAACTGTAGTCCAACAAAGGACTTCTTTCCAGGGTCTACAAAGAACTCAAACCAACCCCCTAAAGTGGATAAAAGCTAGGTGTGGTGGGTCATGCCGGTATCTCAGCACTCTGGGAGTTCAAAGGGAGAGGATCCGTTGTACTCAGAAGTTTGAGACCAGCTTAAGCAAGAGCAAGACCCCATCTCCATTAAAAATAGAAAAATTAGCTGGGCATTGTGGCAGGCGCCTGTAGTCCCAGCTACTCAGGAGGCTGAGGTCAGACAATGGCTTGAGCCCAGGAGTTTAAGGTTGGTGTGAGCTGGGCTGATTCCACGGCACTCTAGGTAAGATGACAGAGTTAAGACTTTGTCTAAAAAAAAAAAGTAGGCAAAAGACATGAACAGAAATGTTTTGAAAGAAGATAGACAAATACAAATGGCCCACAAACATGAATAATGCTCAACCACATTAATCATCAGTGAGATGCAGATTAAAACTGCAAGGAGATACCACCTTACACCTGCTGGAATGGTCGTTGTAAAAAGTCAAAGCGCAGTAGATGCTCCTGGTACAGATGCCAAGAGAAAGGAACACTTTTACACTGTTGATGGGACTGCAAATTATTACAACTTCTATGGAAAACAGCATGGAGATTCCTTAAAGAAACAGACCTACCATTTGATCCAATGCTGGGTACCCAAAGGAAATAAAGTCATTTTATATATATAAAAAAAAAAAGACACCCTCATAACTTCATTCACCTTTGCAAAGAGGTGGAATCAACCTAACTGCCCACCAGTTCATGAGTGGATAAAGAAAACATGGTGTATTCATACCTTGGAGTACCACTCACCCATAGAAAGGAATGAAATTACACCATTCACAGCAACTTGGATGCAGCTGGAGACTGTCATCCTAAGGGATGTAGCTCAGGATGGAGAAGTAAACACCGTATGTCCTGCCTAATAGGTGGGAGCTAGATGATGGCAACGTGGGCACAGAGTGATATAAATGACATGAGAAACCAAGAAAGAGATGGGATGGGATGGGATGGGGTGGGGTTGGGAGAGGGATGTGGAATGAAAACTTATCTACTGGATGTAATGGACACTGTTCTGTTGGGCACACCAGAGGCCCTGACTTAAGCATTATACAAGGTATCCACGTAACAAAAACACTTGTACCCTGTTATTATTTTAAAATAAAAATAAAGACACCAAACCAGGTCTGGCACCCAAAAGCCCAAGGAGAGAGCTCAGCTCACCAGAGCCTGTCCTTCCCACGATGCCCACCACTTCGCGGCCATGAATGGTCAGGTTGATGCCATGAAGGACAACGGGTGTGTTGTCTCTGTATTTCATCTCATAGTCCTGAAACGTGATTTGTCCCTGCTGTGGCCATCCAGGGGGACAGCTTGTGCCTTCCACGTGTAAAGGAGCCTCAGAGACACACATCTTATTTTTAAAGAAAGAAAAAGAAATCAATAGTTAGCATCAATCTCTGCCCACCACCTGTTATCATCAACCTCTGCCCACCACCTGCTGACCTGCCGGCCTCCAGCTGTGGGGCATGTGACCCACCTGGCCTGCCCCGCACCATTGTCAGCCACCGCTGTGTGATCAAAGGAGAACCCCAAGAGGAGCATCAATCCCCCCACTCACCTGATTCACACCCATATAGCCAGCCGCACTAGTAACCTAGAGCACGTTTTCTAATTTATTCTGATTTATTGCTCTAAAGCAATTAAATCCAGAATAATGACCAAAAAAAGCATCCCCCCAATGGGGTGCCTTCTGTAGCTCCGAGCCATGGGCAGACTTTATCTTTCTCTATGCTTGTCCTGTGAGATGAGCCTTTCTCTCTCTTTTTTATTTTTTATTATATTTCTTTTTTCTTATTTCGTATTATTATAGGGTACACATGCTTAGGTTACAATGTTTGCATTTATTAGAGAAGGTCCCTGTTGTAGTTGTGCCCCCAGCCAGGAGGTGTGCCATGTTCCTGTTGGGTGGAAGCCCACCAATCTCCCCTCCTCCCCTTTCCCCCTCGCTCTTCCTCTCTCCTACCTTCCCCTCACCCCCTAACGTGAATTAATTAAATTGAGTTTTTCCCTTGTGTGGGCGTGTATGAGTGGGTCTACTGGCTTCATGTTAGTATTGAGTGTATAGGATACTTGCTTTTCCATTCTTGTGATACTTTTTAGATGCATTTCCCAGGCAAGGAAAGAAAGACTCCAACAGATAAAACAACTTGCTTAAGACCCCGCGGTTCATGAGTGGATGACCTGGGACTCAAACACAGATCTGCCAAACCCCAAGCCCACCACTCCATACTGAGCAATAGGGTGTATAGAGAGGAAAGATTACTAGGGAAGAAGCAGGCCCATCAGCTGCCTGTCACCGCTCCCCACCACCTGGAAGCAGGCCCACCGGCTGCCTGTCACCGCTCCCCACCACCTGGAAGCAGGCCCATCAGCTGCGTGTCACCGCTCCCCACCACCTGGAAGCAGGCCCACCGGCTGCCTGTCACCGCTCCCCACCACCTGGAAGCAGGACCACCGGCTGCCTGTCACCACTCCCCACCACCTTCATGTATTTCAGCATCCTCTCGATAGCTGTGAAGTGCGCCTCTGTCTCTGAGCCGATTCGAGCAGTGGCCTGGAAGTTGGACGCCAGCTGGAAGGAAGGAGACGCGTCAGGAGGTCAAGAGGCTGCCGGGGGTGTGCTCAAGCTCTCAACACTCCTGAAAACCGCTGGTAGCATCACCCTGAGTGGCCCCTCTGATCAAGACAATTTCCCAGCTCAAATGGAGCAGAGCCCTCTCAGCCCACTTTTGAGTTCAGACGCAGCTGTGGTGGGCAGTGCAGGGTGAGAATCCCACTGGACGCCCCTCCACCTCAAGTGCCCTCTCCATGTCTTTCTGCTCAAAACCTGCACCCACACCAAGGAGCCCACTCAATCCAGGCACAAGTGCTTCCCAGAATCCCCGGGTAGCCGAGGTTGAAAACAAGCTTCAGCTGATAGGGAACAAGAGCAGGCAGATAAAGACGCCCGTCTCTCAGCCTTTGGGGACACAATCCTGGGAATTTCTCAAATACCCCTTTGGGAGAGCCCAGTAGAGTGAAGCCCTGGTGACCTGGAGCAGGTGCCTCCATGGCCCTCTCGTGTGAATTTCCTCTTCCCTGCCTCCCTCTTCCGCTCCCTCTGTCCTGTCTGCTGGGAGCGTTTCCCCAGATGAGCTGCCTGTACCGAGTCCTTGTTTCAGGCCCTGCCTTCAGAGAAACTCAGGCTACAGGAAGCTAGGGACACTGGGGATCTAGGGGCACCCTCAGTGAGGAAACTGGGGTGCAGAGAGGGGACGTGACATACACAGAGTCATCCTAAGCTGGAGGCAGAGCTGCAGTGGAGACCCCCGTCTTTATGCTCCTTTACCCTGATCCAGGACACGGCAAACAGGGTATGCAGAGGGTGCAGGGTAACAAGTCCATCCCAAATTCCTTCATCAAACTCCGCTGGAAGGCTTTGTGCCCGGTGCTGGGCCAGGCTCTGTGTTACAAAGTGCGGCGGACACAGGCCCTGCCCTTGAGGAGCTCCCGACAGGCTGGGTAGTAAAGAAAACCCCAGAGAGCGATGGTGCAGAGGACACTCTCCACAAGGAAGTGGCCCCAGGAGAGGCTCCTGCAGGAATTGGTGCTACATGGTCGAGGAGGGGTAAGATTTAGCAAGCTAAAGACGGGTGGAGAAGTGTTTGGCCATGGCCCAACAAAGAGTGTGGGAAAGGGAGGAGAAGCCCTCTTGAGTCTGAGAAGGTGGCCAGTGTGGTAGGAAGGCACCAGGCTGTGCAGGAGGCAGGGGGGCTGGAAGGCCGGCTCCCGTCCTGTCCCCCTGCTGGCTGGACACTGCAGGTGTTCTTGCCAGCAGGCCACCATCACTGTCAGGTATCTGGCAGCCTGTGCTTCAGATAGCTCGGCTGATCCAAACCAATCGTGGCAATTCCACTCCTGCCCATGGTTACTTGAGGTGCGGACCCACGACACAATTCTGGCCAATGAAGCATGAGGAAGTGTCAGATGGGAGTATTCTGGGAACTTTTCTTTGCTCCTAAGGACACATGAAGAAAGTTATCTCCTCTCCAGCCTCTGGTTGTTAGTGTGTGAAGATGCAAACCTTACGTCAGCAACAGCCACCCGATCATGAGTATAGGTAGCCCTGAGAAGTGGCTAGGGACAGAGCCAGGCTGTGGGTGCCAGTGCAGAAAGATAAAACAGTCATGGGTTCATGCTGGGCCACTAAGTCCGCCAGCTGAGAATGGCCTTCTCCCGGCCTTCTGCTCACATCAGAAAATAAGGTCCATAAATAATTAATCAAAAATAAAATAATAAAATAAAATAAAACATTTAAAAAACAGAGACTTTAAAAAAATAAATAAAAGTTAATTGCTGAGAAAAAAATTTTTTTAAATAAAAATAAGGTCCCATGGGGGAGAGGCCCCTGTGAGCTGGGTCTTCGGCTGCTAGACGCACCTCTGACGTGCACTGAGAAATCTCTTAGGTCTGCAAAGCAAGACGGTGTGTGATTTTTCTTCCCAAAGCTTGAACGTATTTTCTCAAATCTTCGTGCAGAAGTCAGCCAGGTACTGGCTTGACCAGAGTAGAAAGTGCCGCTGGGGTCAGGTTTGGTGCACAAGGAGACAAGAGTTTCTGAAGGTTTCTGAACGAGGCAGTGACAAGATAAAAACTCTATAATTAAAGGTTGCTCTAGTACAGCGATTCTCAACCTGTGGGTCGTGACCCCTTTGTAACAATGAAAATGCATTGCAGCATTAGGAAGGTTGAGAACCACTGCAGTCTAGTGAGAGTGTGGAAGGCAGGATGGAAGGTGCTGAGGGGCTGGGAGGCTGGGAGGCTGTCACCCAGGTGGGCATGTGACGCTGGAGCAGGGCAGCAGAGCCTGAGAAAGGAGACTGAGCTTCCAGGGCTGTTCTGAGAGGGGATCCCCGGAGAGGTGAGCATCTGTCCCCCCCTTGCCGGACGGTGCATGACCCTTCCCCTCAGCGGTGAACTCTGGCCTAGGCCCTGCAGCACCGGGGGCTTTCTGAGCCTCAATAATTTCAACCCCCCCTGAGACACTGGCTTGGTGCCTCTCCCCCAGAGTTCCAAAAGGCTTGGGAGCAAGTCTGCACTGAGACCCGCCGCTGTCTGAGTGTGTGTATGTGACAGAGAGAGAAAGGGAATGTGGCCACTATGGACGCAGCTGTCTCTCAGTAGCCGTGGGAACACAAGAGGTCACTAAACTCCCTGAGGTTCCTATCTGTAAGACAGGACAGCCAATTTATTGTTGTAAACTGAGCATTTAGTCTATTCTGGGCAGGCACCATTCTAGATGTTTAACATGCATTAACTCTCCCGTTTACACATAATTCTCACAAGGCTATGATTTCAGAATTTTTACTATCACCCTTTGACAGATGAGGAATCCAGACACAGGCAAGCTAACAAACTTACTCCAAGTCAACACAGCATGCAGAGCCTGCTTTGAACCTGGCCATTCCAAACCACACATTCTTTTCTTTTCTTTTTTCTTTCTTTTTTTTTTTTTTTGAGACACAGTTTCAATCTGTCACCCTGGTAGAGTGCTGTGGTGTCATAGGTCACAGCAACCTCAAACTCCTGGGCTCAAGTAATCCCCTTGCCTCAGCCTCCTCAGCAGCTGGAACTATAGGTGCCTACCACAACACCCAGCTAGTTTTTCTATTTTTAGTAGAGACAGGGTCTGGCTCTTGCTCAGGCTGGTCTCAAACCTATGGGCTCAGGAGATCTACCCACCTTGGCCTCACAGAGTGCTGGGATTACAGGCATGAGCCACCGCACCCGTCCTGAAATGAACCACATGTTCCTAACCACCCTGCCGTGTGTCCTGCAGTGCTGTGGTGAGAGGCGGGTGGAAGAACCCAGGGCAAGACCTGGTGTGGCACCAGCTCCCAGTAAACCCACCACTGCTGCACTCGTCAGACACCTATCTGAGTGTGAGGCTTGCAGGCCCAGGGGGAAGCTTCTGTACACACACATACAGGAGTGCGTGTCTACGCAAAGATGCGTCTACTGCAGGGGCTCCCTGAGAACCAAAGGGAGCCCCTTTTGCATACCCCAAAGCACCTTGCCCTGAGAACTAATGGAGCCCAATGGGGCACACATGAGACTCCAGGCCACTTAGAGAGAAAGCCACACAGCCGCAGAAGAGACACCTATGAATAACCCAGCCAGGGTGCCTTCACGGACAGCCCTGTGCTGGCTCCTGTGGACGTGAAGTGGCCAGCCACTCCCTCCACACTCTCCCCCTGCCTCTCACACCCCAGTTGCTGGGCAGAGGAATTCAGGTGGTGAGGTACGTGGATCGCTATATCAAAATCTCCTAGAGAATCTGTTTCCAAATTACATTGTAAGAGCATGACCCAGGGCCTGACTCAGAATCTCTACGGCTGTGCTCCCAGAGCGTGGTCCCCTGTCACCCTCCCAGACTCAGGCAGGGGCCCAGCAGTTTGCTTCAAGTCTTGCTCTAGGGAAGGGGCTAGAAACCTCAACCTAAGCTGTTAACCACCTTCCCGGGTGAGGCAGAAGTTTGGCAACGCAATCTAGGTAAGAACAAAGCAAGAGGTCAGGGTTCCCATCCCAGCTGTATACCCCTCCGTGTGCACAGTCCCTACCCCATCTGGGCCTCAGTTTCCCCGTCTACCCAGTAAGAACGTGGGGTGCTGTTGCCTGTCGGCTCCCTTCACTGCAGTGTTCTATGGTGCCATTAAATCCCTCCACATACGGACTGCCCAGTTTAGAGGTGCTACGGGAAATGCAGCGAAGTAGCCAAATTCAGGAGGCTCCTGAGATCCCACAAGGCCACGGGCCGAGGACAGGCCCGGCTGGGAGAGCCCTCGGAGCCCAGCACACTCACCTGCAGCAGCAGCCCGATGGCCATGGCTCTGTAGGATTGTGAGGTAGAGGAGATGTCAAAAGCCAAGAACAAGGCCACAGCCAAGGTCAGCAGGTTGATCATGATCTCCAGCCGCAAGGCCGCCCACCGTGTGGATGCCAGAAACAGCAGCTGGTAGTTGTTCTGGGTGTCCGTCAGGCGTTTAAACCTGAGGAAGAAAGCACAGCGTGAGACCATGGTGTGACCGCCCCAGGGTGGCCCGGGGCCAGATGCTGGGTGCTCCTCCAGCGTCCCCCCACCCCCACAGCAGGACTTGGGTCATCTCCAGGGCTCTTCCCAGTCCTTTTTTTTTTTTTAATTAAATCATAGCTGTGTACATTAATCCAATCATGGGGCACAATGTGCTGTTTCTATATACAATTTGAAATATTTTCATCAAACTGGTCAACATAGCCTCCACGGCACTTTCTTAGTTATTGTGTTAAGACATTTATATTCTACACCTAGTAAATTCCACGTGTGCCCTTTCTACGTTGTGGATTTGGGTGGGGGTGGCCTGACCCCTAAACTCTGTGACTCATCCAGGGATGGAGGAGTCACCCTCATTAGACTAAAGAGAGGGAGTGATTGCCAGGATCTGTGAGAGGTGCAGGGAGGGGATTAGTGGGACATCTGAAACTACCACTCTGCTGGTAAGAGGGGAGCCTGGAGCTGCCAGGGAGTCTCCGAGAACTTGGAGGTGAGCGGACACCGTGGAAGGCAGAGCAGTGAAACAGTGACAAAAATATATATATATATATGTCCCCATCTCAGAGTCTTTGCATTTACTGTTCTCTCTGCCTGGAAAGTTCTTGCGCACATATTTCCATAGTTCAATCCTCACTTTATTGAGACCTCTGCTCAGGGTCCCTGCCTCTGAAACCTTCCCCAGCAGCAGCTCCAATCCTACCGTGGTCCCTTTCTGTCCTCTGGCCTGTTTTACACCTGGGGGGTGAGGGGTGGGGATTGTGTCTGTCTTGTCTACAGCTGTATCCCTAGTGGGTGCTGGGCGCATGGCAGGTTCTCGGGTGGACTGAACTAATGAGTTGCTCCAAGACCCCTCAGTCAGTCCTCAGAGCTGCGGTGCCACAGAAAGAGCAGATGCTGCGGTTCAGCCCGTGTTCCAGGGCTCTGAGCAGATGCTGCGGTCCGGCCCGTGTTCCAGGGCTCTGAGCAGATGCTGCGGTCCGGCCCGTGTTCCAGGGCTCTGAGCAGATGCCATCGCCCAGATGTGTGCCCACTCCGTGTCCAGGCTTCAAAGCCAGCTCCAATGACACTTCCTATCCAAAGCCATCCCTGATTCCTCCCCCCACAGGCCACCTCCTTCCCCTCAGAACTCCCAGGCAGCGTATCTGCTCCTCACCAGGCCATCGTTCTTACCCAATCCTGTGTCACTACAAAAATACATGCCCATGGCTCTGCTCTTGCACCAGGGTGTGAGCCCCACATGAGTGAAGACAATTACAAACAGGTAAGTTTAGGTTACACAATTACCCCTCAGAAACAATCCTATGTTTCAAAAAACATTCAGAAGGCAAATCTATCCATATAAGCAGTACATGATTTAGGAAGCTCTCACTCCTTATCATTTCACTAAGATTAGTGAAGTGAGATTTCACTAAGATTTGTTTAGAAGTGAAAGAAAAAAGTATCATGCAAGATATATTTACATAATAATCCATCTTATTAAATATATGTACACATAGGTACCCAAGTATACAAAACACCCACAGGTCTTTATAGGTTATGCGCATTTTCCGTAGCATTTACATTTTTGTTTTTCATAAACACTATCTCACAGATGAGGTTGGAGCAGCTCAGAGAACTAAATGGAATAGAATAATGTTCTGTATGATCCCACTCCCACCGTCACCCGTCATCCTCCAGCAGCTGCAGAACTCACCGGTTGAAGAAAGCTTCGGTTTTTTCGTAGACGTGGATGGAGCTCAAGCCGTGCAGGGAGGTGAGGATATGGGAGAACACAGGAGACCGGCTGTAGCTGTCCAGCCTCTTAAACAAGTTGATGACTCTCCTGAACACCCTGTATCAGGAATCAAGGCGCACGACCTGAGCCATCCACCTCGGGGACCTCCAGCCAGGTTGGTCCAGCCACACACCTACCCTGAGTCACGGAAGCTACTCACTTATAATAAATGAGGCAAAAACCCATCACCACGGCTGTGAGCAGCAGGACGTAGGGAGACAGCATGACGATGAGCAGCAGGATGGCGATTATCAGCAGAGACAGCAGCAGGAACTGCTCGGCAGCCACGGGCAGGAACTGGTCCAGCTCGTCCAAGTCGCCCGCAAAGCAGTTCAAGAGTCGGCCTGTTGGGGTTGTGTCGAAGAAACTCATGGGGCAGCGGAAAACCTGTAGGGACACAGAGCAACCCAGACGGTGAGAGGTGAGAGCCAGCCCTGCTGGGAGTGGTGGAAGAAGCCTGTTCTCCTGGGCTCCGGGGAGCTGCAGCTGCAGCCGGAGGGGCCTCCAGGGAAGAAGTACAGCACTGTAGCTAAAAGCACGGACGGGCTCCGGACTTGGCTACCTTCTCTACCAACTGCTGTGTGACCCTGGGCAAGTTACTTAACCTCTCTGATCTTGAGGTCCTCATCTGTGAAGTGGGGATGATAATGGTGCTTCACAGAACACACCCAACACCCCTGAGCTGCACAATTCAAAGGTGTGAATTAGCTCTCACAGAGCTGTCACTGAGAGAGAGAGACAGACAGAGAGGATGCACGAGCATGCTCAGAGCAGGGCCTGCTCCCATGCTCATTCCATCACTGCCAGCTCTGTTCTTCCCTACAGCCGGGACCACTTGCACTCGGGATTGCCAAGGATGAGTAGCTGCAATTCGACTGAAATCGCACAAGAGTCGGACTCTAGGATCAAATGTAATCATAACTGCCTCTTCTTAAAGGTGGCACCCCAGCTTGGTCTCTAAAACCAGCATTCGTGAGGCCCTTTGACAATCAAAGCACATTTCTTTTTCCTTTCTTTTTTTTTTGAGACAGAGTCTGACTACGTCACCCTCAGTAGAGTGCCGTGGCGTCACAGCTCACAACAAACTCAAACTCTTGGGTTTAAGCAATTCTCTAGCCTCAGCCTCCCAAGCAGCTGGGACTCCAGGCGCCCACCACAATGCCCAGCTATTTTTTTGTTGCAGTCGTCATCATTGTTTAGCTGGCCCGGGCCAGGTTCAAACCCACCAGCCTCGGTGTATGTGGCTGATGCCATAGTCACTGTACTATGGGCGCTGAGTCAAAATGCATTTCAATAAAGCCAGAAAGGGACTAGAAAAAGAAAAATATTTTAAATGTGAAATATATTTTCTAATGGAAAGAAACTTGAACATTTCTCAAAAGTAAAATTACAAAATGCCCCTTGGAAGCCTGGACACTGTGTATTTCAAGACTCTCAGACACCACCTGGCTGAGGGCCGGCACCACAGGCCTCAGGCAGAATTTCTCTCTCCTGCTTTCTGGTTCCGCCAAGTCAATCACTTTACCTCGTCCTCCCAAAACTGAAACACTTAATAGCAACACAATTCGCATTTAGTGTACACAGAATGACAGTCCCCTCCTTACCTCCTGAGTCAGAACCCCTGCCCCACCCCTCTTAGCCCCAGCCTTCCCGAACTCCTTACACCTCCCCAGGAATGCTCTGTTTTTGTTTTACCTCCTACCTCCTGATCTTGAGCTGCTAAATACAGTTCATCCTTTGAAAAGACGGGTCACCTCTTCCAAGTAGCCTTCTTGGACTCCCTAAGGCACTGAGGGCAGGTGCCTCTTAAGTTCCTCTGGCCCTGGGGGCCCCATCTGTGGTTAACTTCAGTCATCATATTGCTGTGGCCTTTTCCTTGTCCAGCTTCCCCACTAGACTACAGGCCCATGGCAGCCCAGCCCTACCTGCACTGGTCATTCACTCCCTGGTGAGCCCAAGGCTCCTTATAGATGTGGCACATCGTGACACTTGAACAGTGAGAGAGAGAAACCATGTTTCCAAGAGGCAGTGTTACACCATAGACAATGTGGTATTCTCAGCACACATATGCTCTAACCAGAAGGTGGAAAAGGAAGGGAGGGAGGGAGGGAGGGAGGGAGGGAAAGAAAGAGAGAGAGAGAGGGAGGGAGGGAGGGAGGGAGGAAGAAAGGGAAGGGAAGGGAAGGGAAGGAGAAATGTGTTTTGATTGCCAAAGGCCCTCACGCCGCTGGGTTTTAGAGACCAAGCTGGGGTGCCACCTTCATAAGATTTCCATTTTCTCACACATAAAATGACGATAATACCCACTTGAAAGGGAACGTGGGGCAATTATAAGCAGCCCTACGTGTGACGGTGCTCAGCCAACAGAGGCCGGCTCCAGTGTGCTCTGTACTCAGAGAACTCTACTTCTAGCCGCAGAAGCACTGTGAGGCTCCTTCCAGCCCCTTCCTCACCTAGTGAACCAGTCCTCCCACCTGTAAAACTACAGAGACAGTAAAAGACAAGTAGTTGTCTTGCCAGGGAGTTGGGGAGGAAGGGAGACATGAATAGGTGGGAGCCGGGATTTTAGAGCAGTGAGACTACCCTGGACAGCGGATCCAAGTCATTACACATTTACAAAACCACAGACCATGCGACCCAAAGAGGGAGTCATCTGTATAAAGCAAGAACAGTTCAAAAAACAAAGTCTAATAATTTGAAAAAAAAAAAAAAGAAGAAGAAGAAGAAGCCGGCATGGTGGATCACACCTGTAATCCCAGCACTCTGGGAGGCCAAGGCAGATCGATCACCTGAGCTCAGGAGCTCGAGATCAGCCAAAGCAAGAGCAAGACTCTATCTCTAAAAATAGCCGGGTGCTGTGGTGGGCGCCTGTAGTCCCAGCTACTCTGGAGGCTGAGGCAGAGAATCACTTGAGCCCAAGAGTTTGAGGTTGCTGTGAGCTGTGATATCACAGCACTCTACTGAGGGTGAAAAGGTAAGACTGTCTCAAACAAACAAAAAACTTGGGCATGGTCAGGGCCTGTGGCCACACCTAGCGCCAGGCCCATACCTTGCTGAAGAGCTGGTTGTGCAAGGCTGTGGATGCTTTTCTCGTGACCTTGGTAAAAACGCCTGATGAGCAGACCCCCACGCAGACCAGGAACACAAGGCTGAGGCCATATACCATTTCGTAAAAGGACAGCTGAGGATTGTCCATGATGTCTCCTGGGTCAGCAGTGGTCCTGTTGCTCTCTTGGCTGCTGTTGGTCTTTAAGAGAACAGGGGGTCAGAACGCATGAGTCCAGGGTGTAATTCAGTGGCAGGAAAATCCCTCTCCCTGTGGCCGCATAAGACTCAGCGGCTGATAGAAGGTGACACTGTGTTAAGACCTCCCTGCTCAGAGCTTTGATTTCTGTCTCTTTTCCCTCCTCCAGCCCTGCCCAGGTCAGGTCTGCTATAGCAGCAGGTCCCCTACGCTACCCACCGCCGTGCAGGGAGCAGCCAGCTTGCCCTGCCCGGGTTCGGGTCCACTATAACAGCAGGCCCCCTTCACTATCCACTACCACGCAGAGAGAAGCCAACTTGTTTTAGAGTTAGATTCTGCCAAGGAGAGGCACTCGCAAGAAACATGAAGGATGGAAGAGGAGAATCCATAATATTCTGGCAGCAACTGTGGGTCCGCAGAGGGATCCCTGGGAGCCTCTGGCAAAATTCACGCCCCACACACCTGCCCACAGTTGCCAGGAACTTTGCCAGAGGCTCCCAGGGACCCTTCTGAGAACCACCCGAGTCAGTTCTACTTGCTGCTGACATCACTGGTGACCACCTCCCCTCCAGTGGCCGTGGAAGCCTCTGCTTCCCTGTGTTAGATCTTTGGACTCTAAATACTTAGGGTGGCTTCTGTTTTCCTGACCAGCCCTCGAAAGCCAACTGAGTGGAGCCCTGTGGGAAAAGCACAGCTCCCAGCAGCAGGGGCACGAAGTTCAAGTTCCAGATCCTTCATGTCCTAGGGAAGGACTTTATCCTCTCCAGGGTCCTCATGGATAAATGGGGACAGAGAAACCCACCTCGAATGTGGCTGGGAAGATGGATGAAATGACCTGACACGGTGTGGGCGCAGCGGCTCCCGGCCCTGTGGCAGGGCACATTTTAAATAGACCAGAGTGAGAAGATGAGGTGGGAGTCATAGGAAAAAGTCACTAGGGTGGGATTTAAAGATTCATAGACAGCCGTCTGGGGACACAAACATGTTGATTTTGACCCAACAAGACTGCAGGGGGAACCACCCATTCTGTAAAGCCCCTTGCCAGCATCCTGACTCCCAGATGGTCATCTCTGAGACGCTGACTGCCAGCCGGCTCTGGGCTTGTCCCAGGGGTCCCTGGTAACACTCTGGTCACCCAGTCCCACTGCACTGAAGCCCACAGAACCACAACACACCCACATCAGGGTACTCACCCCCGAGCCCTGCTCCAGCCAGTAGCTCAGCCACCAGAAGTTGAAGATCGTGAGGCAGATAAACACAACCAAGAGAAGCAAGGCCAGGAAGGAGACCACGTACCCTGAGAGGGAGACAGAGGTCACGCCCAGGACCCACACACAGTCGCCAGGCACCTGCCCACAGTGCCGCTCAGCACCCAGCCCCTGATCCCTGGAAATCCCTGACCCCTGTCCACTTGGATGCCTTGGAGGACTGGGAAGAGCTGGGTTCCAAAGTCAGAGAATCCTGGGTTTAAATCCTGGCTCTACAACCTCCAAGCTATGTGACCCTGGACAAGGTACCAAGCCTCAGTGATACAAGGGTGACAGACACCCCAGCCACAGGGCTGGGCTGAAGATGATTATGAGATAGTGTCAATCACCCAGCCCAGTGTCTGGGACACAGCAGCATATTCTAGGGAAGTGAGCCTAGAAGTGGGCCCCCTTTTGTGCTGGACATACTGGGCACTAGCACATCCTGTGCCAGGCAGAGTACTGCACATATGCATTATTGCTGAAGCTGCGATTCCATCCCCAGTTACGTGAGTGCTGTTGTTTCAATGTATGTGTCACTTTAAAACTCATATGTTGAAACCAAAGCACCAAGGTGATGGTATTAGAAGGTGGGGCCTTTGTAAGGTGGTTAAGTCATGAGGGTGGAGCCCTCACAAAAGGGATTAGTGCCCTTACAAAAGATGCCTCAGAGTCCTGCCTCCCTGTTTTCTGTCTCTTTTGCCCCAGAGGACACATCTGCCCTCTCCAGAGAACAGAAGATGCAGCGTCCAAGATACCACCTTGGAAGCAGATGTGGGGCCCTCAGCAGACGCTGAACCTGCTGGTGCCTGGATCTTGGATTTCTCAGCTTTCAGAGCAACAAATTTCTGCTCTTTATAAATTACCCAGTCTCAGGTATTTTGTTGCAGCAGTACAAACAGACTAAAACAAGGAGGAAATTGAATCTCAAAAAAGGCAAGTAACTTGCTCAAAGTGACAGAGCTGGGAAGGACAAGACCTGGGATTCAAAAAGGCTAAGATGGGAAAACTCAGGCTGCGTTCCTCCCGGCCTCATGCCCCCGCACTCTGCCCACCTACCCATGCCCATAGCCTGCCAAAATTCCACACTTCCTTCAAGGCTCGTGCTTCTCGGAGGAGATTGAGATTGCCTGGGCACAGAGCTCCCTCTCGCTATCTGGGGGAAGCGATGTCTGAAGTCTCCAGCCAGATTCCAGAGTTGGTTCTTAGATGACTTTATACCCCCTCCCCTCCACAGCTTGGCACAGTGCCTGGTACATGCCTGTCCTTTGTAAACACAGATCAATTGCCTGCTTGGTCAATTTGTCCATTTAGGGGCGCCATCTGTGGCTCAAAGGAGTAGGGTGCCAGCCCCATATGCAGGAGGTGGCGGGTTCAAACCCAGCCCCGGCCAAAAAAAAAAAACGCAAAAAATAAAAAAAAAAAAAATTGTCCATTTAAGCATTTGCTGCTTTCCTGGAGATCTTCTTTATGTGACCTTTATGTCACCTGTCTGCTAATCCACTAAATGGCACTGTTTGCTTCTGTAAAGGGGGTCATCGTGACCCCGGCTTGCTTTTTGCTTCTTTTGCTAACTTTCGGCACACCTGTCTGTCCCTTTGCCAACTTTCAGACTAGAAAAACCCCAACTTCAGACCCCTCAATGCTCTCTCACTTAGTCTGCCTTAGGCTTTGCTGAGACAGCCCCGCGGTGAATAGAAGACTCCTTTTTGAACTTCCAATTTGAGTCGGTGGTCCTTATCTTGCCCCCATTGCATGACCAGCCGGCACAAGGCAGGCTCCTTGGTACTGCTCTACGCCACGTGACCTCACGAGTTCCAAAGCGACCCAGTTTCAGGGGCAAGGCTGTTCCGAGAGAGCGCCAGGGTGGCATGGGGTGTCTGCAGCCCGTACCTCCCGCCGCCTGCATGTAGCGGTGATAGACGCTCCAGCTCAGGGCACCTTCCTCCATCTTCTCCTCGTAGGTGAGCTGATGCTCTGGCACTAGGTCGGGATGAAAGGAGAGGAAAATGGTGTGCCTCCCGATGACCTGGCCTCCTTCCCGGGTCAAGGGGGATCCTGGCAGCTCCTTCTGCCCTCAGCTCCCATCCCTCTCAGCTTTTCACCTTCCAGCTTCAGCGCCCACCGAAGTCTGGCCCCACCGGCAGGTTTTCCATGGAAGACTCTGCTGGAGGTAACCTTTGACCTGGATCCAGAGCTTGGAAAGGGGATCCAGCACTGACCATTCAAAAAATGTTATTTATTTTATTTTTCTTTCTTTCTTTTTTTTTTTTTTTTATGAGACAGAGTCTCACTTTGTCACCCTTGGTAGAGTGCTGTGGCATCACATCACAGCAACCTCGAACTCTTGGTCTCCAGCGATTCTCTTGCCTCAGCCTCCCAAGTAGCTGGAACTACAGGAGCCCAGCTATTTTTAGAGATGAGATCTCACTCTGGCTCACCCTGGTCTCAAACCTGTGAACTCAGGCAATCCACCTGCTTCGGCCTCCCAGAATGCTAAGATTATAGGTGTGAGTCACTGTGTCTGGCCATTCAGTAAATTTTGGAGGCCTAGAGTTCCCACATAGTTGGCAGGCTGAGGGAGGCAGCAGGAGAGAATGAAAAAAGCCACAACTGGGTGGCGCCTGGGGCTCAGTGGGTAGGGTGCCGGCCCCACATACCGAGGGTGGGGGGTTCAAACCCAGCCCCAACCAAACTGCAACAAAAAAAATAGCTGGCATTGTGGCAGCCGCCTGTAGTCCCAGCTGCTCAGGAGGCTGCGGCAAGAGAATCGCCTAAGCCCAGGAGTTGGAGGTTGCTGTGAGCTGTGACGCCCTGGCACTCTACCAAGAGCAATAAAGTGAGACTCTGTCTCTACCAAAAAAAAAAAAAAAAGCCATGACTGGGACCAGGGAACCTGGGTTCCAGAATTGCCACCATAATACTGTGCAACCTCAGGCAAGTCACTTAAACTCTCTGTTTCCTCATCTAAAAAAATGGCAGGCCTAGATGGTTGCCAAGATGCTCTGCTACAACATGCTTCTGAGACAACACACCAAACAGCTGGGCACCAGCCCCGGCAGAGCCTTGGCCTTGAGCTTGGCCCAAAGACCTGGACATACTAAGACACCAGACACTTCTGATGGCAATAAAAACAGCCGCCAGCACGGTGGCGAATCTCTATCACTCCCGCCTGACGTTGTCCCTTCTTCTAACAAACCCAAGTATTTCCTGCGGAAGAGCAGTTCTCTTCCTGGAACTTGAACACTGAAGGAAATTGCATTACGGGACTCGGAGGGACATGGGGGCCTCCCCTGTGTCATTTACCTGCACCTGACCTCATCTAATCTTCACTATAATTCTGCAAGGCTGCCTCCTCTATCAACTGCTGTGTGACCCTATCTCCCCTTTTGCAAATGAGGCTTCAGAAAAGTTAAGTTATTTGCTCAAGGTCACACAGCTTTGTAAGCAGCAGAGATGGGATTCAAGTACAGAACTGCCTTACTCGAAAATGGAGGTCTTTCTCTTCTGCGACCCTGCTTCAGACCATAGCAGGGCCCTGAGCTGCTGGGTGTCAGGGGCTGAGCCCCGGTCATTTCTGATTCCTAGCACCTTTGCTCTCCACGTTCACTCTTTATTAGCAGGCAATGAGTGAAATGTCCAGATGCCTAGCCGAGTCGTAAGTCTACAGGGTCAGAGTCACCCCCCTTCCCGCAGAGGCAGCCTCAGCTGTTTCCCCCAACAACACTCCCTTCTGGATCTTTCAGGCCTCCTAACCACTCAGTCCTCACCCCCCGCCCTGGACTACTTGGATCTGTAACCTGCATACAGGAATGTTGAGGATCTCAGACAGGGAAGGACACAGCCCATCTTGGGGTCCAAAAAGAAATACCAGGACCTCTGGAAGACTCAGGCAGGTGGGCAGAAATTCTCAACCTGCTTCCCACATCATTACCAGCATTTTCGCTGAGAGAGTCTTCCTGGGAGGTGGCCTGAGCCTGATCTTCTGCCTGTGACTTCTTGGCTGTCTCTGCCGTGTCCTGCGGGATGTCCTGGAGAGAGAGCATGGGGTGAGCTCAGGGCTGTTCTGCCCGTGGGGTGTGAGCAGGGCGGAGTGCGAATCACCTGTGTTGCTTCCTCTGGGTAGATCTTCTGGAAGAGTTGGGCATATTGACCCTTTTTCTGCATTAACTCACTGTGAGTTCCATGTTCACAGATTTTCCCATCTTCTAGCAAAACGATCTGGTCACAAAGCTCTAAATACTGGACAGTCAGAAGAAATAAGGTCTTCAGTAAGCGTAGGTAAAAACACTCAACTTTAGTATTCATCAGGGAAATACAAATTGAAATCATAATCATATATTATTTCTTTCTTTTTTTTTTTTTTTTTTTTGGCAGTTTTTGGCCAGGGCTGGGTTTGAACCTGCCACCTCCGGCATATGGAGCCGGCGTCCTACTCCTTTGAGCCACAGGTGCTGCCCTAAAATATTATTTCATACCACAACTTTGGCAAAGGTGTTGATGATGAGTTTATTTTTATTTGTTTATTTTGAGATAGAGTCTCATTATGTCACCCTCGGTAGAGTACCATGGCATCACAGCTCACAGCAACCTCAAACTCTTGGGCTTAAGCAATTTTCTTTCCTGAGCCTCCATAGTTGCTGGGCATATCGGCACCCACCGCAACGCCTGGCTATTTTTTCATTGCAGTTGTCATTGTTGTTTAGCAGGCCCAGGCTGAGCTCAAACCTGCCAACCTCAGTGTATGTGGCCAGTGCCCTACCCACTAGCTATAGGCACCACCCTGATAATGCTTTTAGATAAAGGGGAATCTCATAAACTGTTGGCAGGATTGTAGATTGGTACAACTGCTTTGGAAAACAATTTGATATGTGTGTATTTAGTAGCAGGGAAAATTTTTAAAGAATTATGAATCAATGATTTAACTCCTAAAACTCTACCCTAAAAAAACTCTTAAAAGTGGGCAGCACCTGTGGCTCAAAGGAGTGGGGCACTGGAGGTGGCAGGTTCAAACCCAGCCCAGGCCAAAAAACTGCAAAAAAAAAAAAAAAAGAAAGAAAAAGAAAAAGAAATACCAAAATAGTAAAACAAAAATAACGAGTCAAAAGAAGAAGAAACAGAAGAAAAGAGAGAAAAATAACAATAAGGTCTTGAGGCTGATGCCATATGTGAAAAGAGTATGGAAAATGACCCATCACAGGCAGAGCCACAGACAGCCATTGCACCATGACTATTGTCAGTAAGAAAACACCCTGAAGTGGCTCTTAATTTACAAATGGAAGAATTGGAGAATTCTTCTCCAAGGGATTGTTTTGGTTTTTTTGAGACAGATCTCACTCTGTTGCCCTGGGGTTGAGTGCTGTGGCCTCACAGCTCACAGCAATCTCAAACTGTTGGCCTCAAGTGATCCTCTTGCTTCAGTCCCCCAAGTCGCTGGGACTGCAGACACCCGCCACAATGCCCAGCTAGCTTTTTCTGTTTTTAGTAGAGACGGGGTCTCACTCTTACTCAGGCTGGTCTCGAACTCCTGAACTCAAGCAATCCACCCACTTTGGCCTCCCAGAGTGCCAGGATTACAGGTGTGAGCCACTGCACCCAGCCTGTTTTCCTTTCTGAAAAGCAGGGGTCCAAAAAAAAAAAAAAGGAAGAAGAAGAAAAGAAAAGCGGGGGTCTACTCATAAAATTCTGAAGATAAAGGAAACTTCAAAATTTGGTTTTAAATTTTACTGACCACAGAAATCTTCGACTAGCCTGTCTTCTCCATGTGGAAAGCAGAAGAAATCCAAGTTCTTTACAACCCTCCCGAAGTTGGGGGAATCTAGTCTGAGATGAAAGGACAGGTGCTGTGAGGCTGTCACTGGGTCACTCTAAAATGACAGGCCCTTACGGCATCTCATGCCTCTGATCTTAGCACTCCGGGAGGCTGAAGTGGGTGGAATGCCTGAACCCAGGAGTTCGGGACCAGGAGTGGCCAGCCTGAGCCACAAGAAGACATCTCTAAAAATAGCCAGCCACTGCGGCAGGTGCCTGTAGTTTCTGCTACTTGGGAGGCTGAGGCAAGAGGATCACTTGAGTCCAAGAGTTTGGGTGGCTATGAGCTGTGATGCCACAGCACTCTACCGAAGGTAACAGTGAGACTCTGTCTCAAAATAAATAAATGAATTAAATTAAATTAAATGGCAGGGCCTTGAGTGCTGTTCATCACTCACATCCAGAGCCCTATAGGGATGGTCACCTGCAGCTGGTGAGTCACCAGGACAACTGTCTTCTCCTTGAGTATCTTCTTAATGCACTCCTCAAAGATGTGCTTCCCCACATGGACGTCCACTGCTGAGAGGGGGTCGTCCAGCAAGTAGAGCTGACGGTCCGAGTAGACAGCACGGGCCATGCTGATCCTCTGCTTCTGTCCCCCGGAGAGGTTGAGACCCCGCTCCCCAATCTACAGGCAGGCAGCAAAAGGCACCAGGAGCACAGAGTGAGCACAGCCAGGCGTGCTCAGATGGGTGGGCAGACGTGGCAGAATGCACCTATTAGTGCAGACCAAAATACACACAGATTCCAGGAAGGACCCTGGGTGATATGGCGCCCCTGGCACTTCAAAAATATTTCTCAAAATTTGCTTAGTAGGGAATGAAGAAACTGATTTTTGACTAAAAACTGTATAACTTAAATAATTTTTCGAAAGCTTTCAACTTCTCAGGAGGCATATCAAACTAGTAAAACTTTACACAGTAAAATAAATCAATCATTCCCAAGAAACAGTAGCATCTTACATCTTATCCAGATTTTAAACTTCTATTGACTGTGCTGGTCAACTTTCAGGCCCATCAGCCTGGGTTGGGGATCATTCAAGGTCACTTGCACTGTGTGTGACTGTTTGGCAGACACAGCTGCACTGCCTGGCAGGGCTCCTAGTGCTCTCACAGCACCTGATGTTCTGGGGCTGGAAGGCGAAACCCTGAGTGACTGAGCATGTTTGATTCCCCCCACAGATTAGCGTTCTAGACAGCTGGCCCATCTCTCCGGCGAGCTCTGAGCACACAGGAGCGGAAGTCTAAGTGCTAGTCCCTGTTCTACCGTGAATTCATGAAGTCTCTGTAGAGAAGAAGCAGAGTTTTAAAGGTGGCAGATAGACCATTTGTCACTGCTCTACCCCCAAGTCACCACCGTAGGGCCCTGAACAAGCAACTTGACCTGCCCAAAGCCCAGTTTCCCATTTATTTCTTCATTTGTTCATTTAAGAAATACTTACTAAATTCCTACTGTACTCGTATGATAATAGCCAACTCCACCTCTATGCCGTGAACTAATAAAAAGTGCTTTAGAGAAATTCTGTCTTCAGATGGCTACATCAATTCTATCTTTTTTTTTAGAGACAGAGTATTACTTTATCACACTTGGTAGAGTGCCACAGCATCACACAGCTCACAGCAACCTCCAACTCCTGGGCTTAAGCGATTCTCTTGCCTCAGCCTCCCAAGTAACTGGGACTACAAGCACCTGCCACAACGCCCGGCTGTTTTTTTTGTTGCAGTCCAGCAAGGGTGGGATTGAACCCACCACCCTGGGTATATGGGGCTGGCGCCCTACAAACTGAGCCACAGGCGCCGCCGCCCAGCAACATCAACTCTTACTGGAACTTCTAGCCCTGCTGATTTTGGACTTAACAACCCTCATAATTACATTTAATTCTATGCACAATCCAAAATCTGCTCACTGATCTTCAAATAAAAATGAAGATTCTGAGAAATTATGGTTCTAAAATGGCAGCACAGAGACAAGCTGTGCTCCCCTCAACACACAAAATGAAAAACAAATATTGATTGCCAAGACTGCAAAAAAACAAATATGCAAAGCCAAGATCTACACCAGCAACAACTCAGAGCTCAAATCAGTGAACTGGAAGTTCAGCTATTTGAAAATACACAGTCAGAAGGAAACAGAAAGAGCAGAAAGAATGAATGTTTCTTACAAGACACATACAATTACCTTGAAGACCAAATCTAACAGTTGCTGGTTTTCAAGAGAAGCTGAGCGAAAGCAAAGGGTAGAAAGGTTTATTCAGAAATGAAAAACAGAAAAATTTCCAAAGCTTAATAAAGATACGAATGAGCACATGTAGGAAGGTCTTAGATCACCAAACAGTGATTCAGCCAAGGAAAGACGACCCAAAGGCATGAAATATAAACAAAACCTTAAATGTCAAGGGCAAATAGAAGGGGCCAAAAGAAGTGAGAGATGAGCAAATAACATAAAAAGGGGCTTCAATTCATTTGGAGTAGGCTTCTTGGCAGAAACCGTACAGGTCAGGGGTGAATAGAGAAGCATTGTCAAAGTGGGGGAAGGAAAGGAAACAGAAGGAGGGGGAAGGGAGGGAGAGAAAGGGGGGGAGGGGGGAAGGAAGGGAGAGAAAGGAGGGGAGGGGGGAAGGAAGGAAGAAGGAAAAGAAAGGAAAAATAAAGAAAAAGGAAGGAAGAAAGGGAGGGAGGAAGCGAGGAAAGGGAAAGGAAAGAAAGAAAGAAAGAGTGAGAGAGGAAGGAAGGAAGGAAGGAAGGAAGGAAGGGAGGGAGGGAGGGAGGGAGGGAGGAAGGAAGGAGAGAGATGCCATTCAAGAATATTATATCCAGCAAAACTGTCATTCAAATATGCAGATGAGGCCATGGCTCATGCCCATAATCCTAGCATTCTGGGAGACCAAAGCAGGTGGATTGCTGGAGCCCAGGGGTTGGAGACCAGCCTGAGCCAAGAGCCAGACCACATCTCTAAAAACTAGCCAGGTGTTGTAGTGGGCACTTAACTAGAGTTTCACCTGAGAGTTTTTAATGGATTTCTTGTACTTCATACTTTTTTTTGTCTTTTTTTTTCCTTGTCAAGACAGAGTTCTGCCCTGTGCCCTGAGCAGAGTACAGTGGCATCATAGCTCACTGCAACCTCAGACTCCAGCTATGGGCATCCTGCTGCCTCAGCCTCCAAGGCCACTGGGATTACAGGTGCTTGCTGCGGTGCCTGGCTGGTTTTTTCCATTTTTTTCATGAGTCAGGGTCTCACTCTCGCTCAGACAAGCCTCAAACTCCTGAGCTCAAGCAGTCCTCCCACCTCAGCCTCCCACAGTGCTGGGATTACAGGCGTGAGCCTTAAGGCAAAGTAGGTAATTAGCTAAGTCTTTATCCAAAATTAACAGTCAACAAACAGAAAAATCTAGTTATACCCTACTTCACGATTTCCTTTTACTAAGAAAATCACACAAAGAGTCTTCCATTTGAAACATTCTTCATGCTCAAAGCTAGCATATATTCGTTAACCAATTTCATTTTTATGAAAGGAGTAAAAAGCACTATGTATTATCAACTCATTTAAACCTTAAAGCAACCTGATCAAGTCAGCACTCTCAGTTATGCCAGTTTACAGATGAGACTTTATTCTTCTATTAAAGGAACAACCCTGAATAAGAGAATTGAGCTCTCTGTCCCCAAGGATTTAAAGACCCAGCTTTAAAAGAAGGATAACCGGGCGGCACCTGTGGCTCAAAGGAGTGAGGCACTGGTCCCATATACCAGAGGTGGCGGGTTCAAACCCGGCCCTGGATAAAAAGTGCAAAAAAAAAAAAAAAAAGGAGGAGGATAACCAAGGACTCCCCTCCGAAGGTTCTGAGGCTCATCGGTGGCCCCACATTCACATTGTTAGGATAGCACCTTGCATGTAGCAAGTGTTCAACAGACTGAACTATTATTAGATGATTAAAACCCAGGTAACAATACTACTTTTACCTTAGGCAGATTAAAAGTGGCTGCAGTGTAAGACAGAGAATTATCAGGACATTGTTATAGTCAGAAATCAAATTGACCCTGTGGGGCGAGGACCGACATTCCCACTGGCAAAGAAACTGCTGCCCAGAGTGGGACAGGGTGGGTGGACAGGGTGGAGAGACCCAAGTGGCTTCTCATCTTTACAAGGTCTGCTTGTGCTTCAAAAGGAGGGGCTTGAGGTCAGTGCTCCACCTGTGCGGGCTGAGGTAACCTTTTCTTCTCCAGCTCCCCTGCAAAGTGAGCCCCCACTTCCCTGGAGAGGGAGAAGGCTCTGCTCTTGACAGTGAAGAAGCAGCTGCGGGAATGCTAGGGGAGGAAGCTTCCCTGGGCAGGAAAAAAGGTCTCTCATCTCCCCACCCCGGGAGGCAGCCTGAGCTACCAAGCACCAACCTCACCACAGAGCCAGCATGCCTGCCTCCCACTCACCTCCGTCATGTCTCCAAAGGGCAGAAGTTCCAGGTCCCGACTCAGGGAGCAGCAACTGAGCACCTGCAGGTACCTACAGAGGATGGAGCTTAGGGGACAAGTGACCAGCCCTCTGGCCCTCCAGCCCACCACCCTTCCCAAGTATTGAAGGGGAAAAAGTCTTGAATTCCATGGTAAGAAACTGGATGGGATTTTGTTTTTCATGGTAAACTGAAGGCTTTCTAAAATTTCCTTCCTTCCTTTATTTCTTTTAAACTAATATGTGCTCTCTATAAGTAATTGAACAGAACCAAAGATATAGAAAAGCAAATATGCCTCTCATCTTTGACCCTCAGGTGCTTTCCTTCCAGCAAGCACTACTAATTACAGTTTCTTACCCATTCCTTCAGGAACGGTCTCTCCGTGCATGGGTGTGTGCAGCACATGCGGGTCCTATCACCTAGAGGCACTGCAGTATTCCTGTCTAAGGCTGCACGCACATTATCTAACCGGAGCTCTAATGTTGCACCCTGCGTCGTTTCTGCTTTTGTGGGCCTATGAGCAATGCCTGGGGAACATTCTTGTTTATGAGTCTCTGTCTTCGTGGGTGAAAATCTCCACCTGAAATACCTAGCGGTGGATTTGCGGAGCCAAAGGGATGGCTTTATTTTCAATGTTTCAAAACTGCTCTGTGAGTTGTATCAGTCTTAGGGCACAACGCCACATTTCAGGATGATCACCTTGGAGACAGTTCGCAAGGTGGAACTGGCCCATAGATGAGGGACAGGGACCCCAGGGCAGGGGCGTGGGAACTGTTGAAACAAGAACTCACAGACGAGAACCAGCAGCAGAGGGAGAAGAGAGAAATACAGAAGTATTTAGGAGACAGACTTATCCAGGGCTGGTGACCAGTTAGATGTGGAAAGTACCACAGCAGGCATCAGGCTTGCTGGGGTGCACAGTCTGGGTGACACCATTAAACTGAACCATCAGTTTGGAAGCCAGGAAGATGGGGCTGGGCCAACAGGGGGCTCAGAGTTAGTATTGGACATGATTGAGAGGTGCTCCCAGGATGACCAGATGGAGATGGCACCTACAGATCTACACCAGCCTGGGCTGTTACTAGGGGCAGGTTGCAAAATCAAGCAAACAGCCAAAGAGGTCAGAGTCCATATCCACGGCTGAAACGTGGGTGTAGTGTTCTGGGCAGTCCTCATGGCTCCTCCATTGAATAAGCTTCACTCATGACACCCAGGTGCATTTGTTAAGCAGTTTAACCCCAGCATTCTGGGGGAGGGAAAGGAGGGACACTGATGGGACATGGCAGGTCCACCAGGCCATGAATCTAAACTCACTTCCTCCACGCTGCAGAGCCTCATCACTGCCATTCGTTTCCCTTTTGACTCAGGATTTAATTCCAATAAACTTTTTTTTTTTGAGACAGAGTCTTAGTATGTCGCTGTCGGTAGAGTGCTGTGGCGTCACAGCTCACAGCAACCTCAAACTCCTGGGCTCAGGCGATTCTCTTGCCTCTGCCTTCCAGGAGCTGGGACTATAGGCACCAGCCACAACACCTGGCTATTTTTTTGTTGCACTTGGCCCCTGCTGGGTTCAAACCCACCAGCCTCAGCGCATGTGGCTGGTGCCGTAACCGCTGTGCTACAGGCCCTGAGCCTCTGATGAAGTTTTAACAGAGGAGGAGAGGGTAACTGAGTATTTTGAACAAATGTAACATAATAGTTAAGTGTGAAGTTTCTGAAAGCAACTGGGTTCAAATTCTGGCTATTTCATATCATATGAAAAAGTCACATATCTGTGACTTTAGCCAAATTATTTAACTGACTCAGCTGGAAAATGGATACAATAATCTTTCTTTCACAGTGAGAAGGAAATACGGGAATGTATATAAGTGAGCACACAGAAAGCGTGAGCAGTTGTCAAATTATTACCAGCGGCTGGAGGTCCCTCCCCAAACCAGCCACACACTCTGCTCTTCCCTGCCCTCCATGAAGCTTACCGGGCCTTGTCATACTGGCCTCCCATGAGAATGTTGTCCCGGACGCTACCCTGGATGATCCAGGCTTGCTGGGGGACGTAGGCCAGGGTTCCGCACACCCCGACCGAGCCCTCGATCAAGTGCATCTGTGGCAGAAAGAGTCCAGCCTCAGGACCAGAGCAGGCCAGGGCACGCACCCTGCCTGGGGCTGCGGCCACACACACTACTCAGGGTCCCCTGTTCTCTGGGACCCTTGGGGCTCTCCTGTGTAAAGGGACATTAATGTGGCATCGCTCTGTTTCTGTTTATTAGAAACAAATGTGACTGATTCATTTGCAGAGGAAACGGACAAACCCCTGGCCACGTAGAAAGGTGGCCTTGTCCAGAAGCTGCTGGGCCACGCCAGTGTGGTGTCGGACAGCTGTCTGACCTGGGGTGGACATGGGTTTCGACCCTGGCTCACCTCTTACCTGCTGTGTGACCTTGGGCAAGTCCCCTCTCTGCCCCTCATTTACTCATTTATTAAGGAGCCACAGCAAATGTGCCTTCTTCACGGGGCTGTTATCAGGGTTGAAGGAGAAAACAGAACGCTCTTAAAATAGGACCTGCTCTGTCCTAATAACTTTCTTAAATAATTTTCACTAATTTTTAAAATGGAGTCTTTCTTCTCCCCAGTTGCAAAGAAGCTAGGGAAAGGCCATCACCTGCGGGCCCGGCCTGCTCCTAACATGACCTTCCAGGTTGGCTATTTGGGAGGAGCCAGGGAAAAGCCCAACGAAGGAAGAGAAACTGTTAGTTCTCCCAACAGTGTGGGAAGCAGGGACAATGGGCAAAGGAAGGAGGAAGAGAGAGGAGCCTGGGGGCTGGGGCTGGTGAGAGACCCTGCAGGGAGGTGGTCACTAACACAGGGACAGGTGCTACGGTGTCTTCCCTTTTCAGTGTGAGGTGTGCAGTGTGACTCCAAAGGATTTCGGGAAATGGGTATGGAGAGTTTTTTAAAACTGGAGAAGGGGTATGTGAGCCACATGTCTCCACAGCTACAGACAAAGCAGACCTCAAACACGTTTACAGGAGACGGAATTGGGGGCTTCAAATGTCAAGGTAAGGGCACCCAGCAGGCACACAGTTCCACTGCTGGGGTGAGTGAGACTACCCTACCCAGCGGGATGGCCTCCCTTCCCCGTCCCTCTTCCTTCTCCCGCTTTCACCCCAAAACATTTTGCTCTGCACGTTGTCCCAATCCTCAACAGTATGAGTTTGGCTTCATAAAATGATTTTCTCTACCATATTAACTTGGAGACACTTGTATCATCACGGAGAACAGGTGAGCATGGATCTCTGGCTACCCTAAGGGGCAGCTGGCCCACCGTCTCCCACCTCTGGGGTAGAAAGTGCCACGGAAGAGGGAGCACCTTGGTATCTCACCTCCCACACTGGTGCATGCACAGCTATTTTCAATTTACAAAAATCCTATTTGTGGGCTCAGCACCTGTGGCTCAAGTGGCTAAGGTGCCAGCCACATACACCTAAGGTGGTGGGTTCGAATCCAGCTCAGGCCTGCCAAACAACAACAGCTGCAACAAAAAAAAAAAAAATAGCCAGGCGTTGTGGCGGGCGCCTATGGTCCCAGCTACTTGGGAGGCTGAGGCAGGAGACTTGCTTGAGCCCAGGAGTTGGAGGTTGCTGTGAGCTATGATGCCACTGCACTCTACCCAGGGGGACAGCTTGAGACTCTGTCTAAAAAAAAAAAAATCCCATTTGCATCCAGGCATGGTGGCTCACAACTATAATCCCAGCACTTGGGAGGCCCAAGGCGGGTGGGCGGCCTGAGCTCACGAGCCCAAGACCAGCCTGAGCAAGAGTGAGATCCCATCTCTAAAAAATAACTGGGTGTTGTATCAAGCACTTGACCAACTTGGGAGCCTGAGGCAAGAGGATTACTTGAGCCCAGGAGTTTGAGGTTGCTGTGAGATGTGATGCTACAGCACTCTACCAAGGGTGACATAGTGAGACTCTGTCTCAAAAAAAGAATCCCATTTTCTGAGACCTCAGTGAGGAAGAGAGCAGTAGGGAGCCCTCCTGAAAGACCGCAGCTCGGGCCCACCCGGACTGCCTGTCAGGGTCGTGGATGTGTCACGGGTCACTTACCTCCCCCAGGATGCCCGACAACAGGCTGCTCTTGCCACTCCCTGTGTTGCCACAGACGCCCACCAGCGTCCCCTGCAAAGCCAAGAGGGACAGGCAGGCGTTGGGGCAGCACGACCTCCCACTTGCCCAGGATGGGTCAACTGTTCTAACACAGATGGACACAGGGAAAACAATAAACCACATATAACCCAGGACCCCTCAGGCTAGCAAAGCTCTAGTCCTCTCTATGAAGGGAACAGGGTACGCTGAGAGGAAGGGAATCGCCTGGGAGTGGCAGAGAAGAGAACTGCAAGAAGCCTGAATCCCAGATAGCATCTCCTCTGCTCTGCAGTCCCAGGAAAGGCACTTAGCCTCTCTGGGCCTCAGTGTTCCCATCTGTCAAATGGGGATAAAGAAGTGGGTATCACAGAATCTATGCATGCATTTATCCATTGGTTCATCATTCATCCGTCAAATAGAGATTTGAATTTCTTCTATGTATCAAAAAAAAAACTCTCATTGGGTTTATACTCTAGTGGAGGCAGAGAAGGAAATAAAAACATAAATACACAAATAAAATCAAATGATAATGAGTGATCTAAGTAATGCAAGATCAACTCCTCTGACAGAGTTGGGGGTTAAGGCAATCTTAGATGTGTTGGCCAAGGAAGGCTTCTTTAGAGCCAAGAGCAAGCCAGACACAGGAAGATCTGGAGCAAGAGTGTTCTGGGATGTGGGAAGGGGAAGTGCAAGGGTCCTGGGGCCAGGACCAGGTTGGCTGCCAAAAAGCTATGAGCAGTCTAGCCAAGCTGGAGAGGAGGAAGTGGATGGAAGAAGGGGTCAGAGGTACAAGCAGGTGTTCAGAGGAGACCTGGGAACTGAGAAGTCACTGAAGGGTTTGACCCTGACAGGACTCCAATTGGCTTGTGTTTTTAAAAGACCCCTCTGACTCCTGCATGGCAGTGGATTATAAGAGGGGCTAGAGCAGTAGAAGGGGCTGTGGTGAAAGGTGTTGGTTCAGGACAGAGGTTGGAGAGGAGCTGACAGAGCAGAAAAATAATCAACAGAGTAAACAGACAGCCTACCAAATGGAAGACAATATTCATAAACTATGCGTCCAGCAAAGTATTAGTTAACATCCAGGATCTACAAGGAGCTCAGATAATTCAGCAAGTAAAAAGCAAATAACCCCATTGAAAAGTGGGCAAAGAACATGAACATTTTTCAAAAGAAGACAAATGGCCAAAAACATGAAAAAATGCTGATCGTCACCAGCCGTTTAAGAAATGCGAAGTAAAACCACAGTGAGTTGCCATCTTACTGCAGTTAGCATGGCCCTTACTAAAAAGTGAAAAAGCAGCAGCTGTTGGCCCAGATGTGATGAAAAGGAGCCATCTGGACATGTTGGTGGGAATGTAAGTCAGTACAGTCGCTGTGGGAAACAGCATGGAGAATTCTCAAGGAACGGAAAGTAGATCTACCATTCGATCCTGTCATCCCACTACTAGTTATCAACCCAAAGGAAAAAAGGACAGTACACCAGGAAGATGCCTGCCCTCATGTTAATTCCAGCATAATTCACAATAGCAAAGATAGGGCTTCAACCTAAGGGTCCCTCAACTAAGGACTGAGTAAAGAAAACAGCACACACACCCCCCATTTAATACCACTCAGCCTTTAAAAAAAGAATGAATAATATCTTCTGCAGCAATGTGCGTGGAAGTGAAGGCCCCTGTCCTAAGCGAAGTGACTCAGGAATATCAATCCCAATGTTCTCCCTTGTAAGTAGGAGATAAGCTTTGGGCACACGCGGTCACACAGGGCGGACGCGGAGATGCCAGAAGGGGGAGGGAAGCAGGGGCAAGGGAGGGAAGGTCACCTCTTGGCCCAGTGAGGGGCACACTAAAATCACAGACTTCAGCACTACACAATATACCCATGTAACAAAACTCCGCTTCTACCCCCTAAGTCTGTTGAAATAAACACAGATTTATATAAATAGATAATAAAGAGAAGAGAAGAGCATAGGTGAGGACAGACAACAGAGGGAAGCCAGCCCTCGTAAACGTTAGGCAGAAAAGGAGCCAGATATCACAGGGGTTCACAGAATGACCAGGGTAAAACAGGACAGTGCCTGGCACATTCTAGGAACCTGATGAACGGTAGTTTAGTCTCCTGCTCTCTCTGTTCTTGGTCGTTCTGAGGGTCAGCACATAGTGCTCTCAAATTATTTTGGGCTTGCCTATTCCAAAGAAAATTTAGAGGATCAATTGATTTATGCTAAAGTGTGAAAGACTTCCTGTGTTTGTCCTCCATGAAAAATTTGTATTTTAAAGAAACATCCTGAGAGGACAGCTTTTAGCCAAGGAAACGTGGGGCACCTGGCCAGCTTCTATCCTTAGGCCCTGCGGGTCTGGCAGGCAGCCTGCCTATAGGCCTGGACAAAGCTACCTTTGACACCACTAGGTTGATCTTGAGCAATGCTGGGGCCAGGCTGTGCTCTTTGTACTCTGGCCTGAGGGCATCTAGAGGCGGCTGAGCCCTGGTCATCCCCTCAGAAGCATGCCCATTCTGCTCCAACTCCAATGCCCCATTGACCATCCCAGGGCAGGTCTGTTGCCATGACAAGGTAGCCTCCTCCAAAACCACAGCTTTGCTGGGGTCTTGCAATTCCTGGACATAGAAAACAGGACTTTCCTGGAGGAAAAATTTCTGTAAAGACAGAAAGGGAAGAGATGGAAATTCAGTTCTTTAGTTGAGTTGCAACGTGTACCCATTTTTTACTGGCTGGCCAGTTGGTATGGTTTAAGGAGACAATTTGCTGCTGATAAAAATTCTAGATCAGTTATTTTCCTAAATTTCTTTTTTCTTTTTTCTTTTTTCGAGATAGAGTCTCCTTATGTCGCCCTCAGTAGAGTAGTGTGGAATCAGCTCACAGCAACCTCAAACTCTTGAGCTCAAGTGATTTTCTTGCCTCAGTCTCCCAAGTAGCTGGGACTACAGGTGCCCGCCACACGCCTGCCTATTTTTTGTTGCAGTTGTCATTGTTGGTTAGCTGGCCCAGGCCGGGTTTGAATCTGCCAACTTCAGTGTATGTGGCTGGCACTGTAACCACTGTGCAACAGGTGCCGAGCCCTGTTTTCCTAAATTTCAAACCACTGGGCCACTGTTCCATCTGTGCGTACCACCTGTACCACCAGCTGACTAAGGTTTGACCTACATAACCCTCGCCTCCTAAGTGTTGACTCATAGGGCTGATGTTTTCCTAGTTAAATTGCATTTACGGTTATTGAAAATAAATATATCCGCCTGTGTTCCACATTGGGGAAAATGGCATGTTGCATCAGACATTTCTACACTTGGCTATTGGCAGGTCACTTCTCTGCATGTCCAGCTCCCGATCTATAAAACCCAAGTGTTGAACAACACGAATTCTAGCACTTAACAGGGCAGGTGGAGAATATGATCCCACTGAAGCCAAGTTATATCCACGTGTCTCCACCCAGAGATGTGCTTAGAGAAACCTAGAAGGATGCTTGTTGACACTGTGGAGCTCACTGCCCATCCATCCAACCCTGGACTGTAGCTTCCTCATCTCTGCCCACTCACTGGGTGAAAACAGGCACAGAAGGCAAGACTGGCTGAGAGAATCTCGCACACCCACACGAGGAAGGCAGCAGCAGGAGCCCTGCTCCAGCTGCTGAGAAGTTAAGGAAGCTCCCCAGGCTGTAGATAAATAAAGGACTTATCCATGTTATTCAAATAAGCCAAGTTCATTACAGCCCAGGGGCCTTTGCACATGCTGGTCTTCTGCCTAGTCATCATCACTCAGCTCAAAAGTCACTTCTGCTCAGGGATCTTCCCCGATCAGCCCCCACAGTAGCCCCAATCCCTCACCAGGACGCCCTCCAGAACACCACACCATGTTACTGGTACGTGTAGCATAGCTCTGCATGTGATCTGATGCAATCCTCCTCCATCACTAAGGTGCTTGTTATTCATCGGTCTCCAACACCAGGTCAGAACTCCCTGAGAGCAGAACTCCCTGGGACCCTGTTGGTCATACTCCGTGAGGACTGTCAGTGCCCACAGGTGCTGGGTGCTCAATAAATGATTTTTTAATAAACGAGTGAATGAACGATGTAGGTTGTAGACTGCATGGGATGACTATCAAATATCTTTTTAAAAATTGGTTTAGATTAGGGTTTTTATACTCACATGCCTGTTGGGACAAGACCAGCTATATAAGAAAGTGAATTAGAACATTTCTAAAACGGTAAGTGGTCAGTAAAATGCAACACTCTGGAGGCAGGAGAGGTGGAGGAGACGGTAAACTGTACCTACAGGCCCCGTCTAACAGGACAGTTGACACCTCTGCTCCAGCCACTGTGCCCATGGGAGATGGTGGCCCAGTGTCA